AGAGAAAGAGAAATGCATTTAGGTCTGGCAGCTTTCAGTAATAAGCTGCTGGTTAACCAGGTATTGGTAACCCTGTTTTTTAGCCTACTTCATGTTGTCAGATGAGTTCACTTTAAATCTATAAAGTCTATTTCAAGTCTGATTATGCAGAGCAGAAAACAGGCAGCTCAGGTAAGGGTTACTTGTACCCAGCCTCAGACTGAGCAGAATATTTAAACTCTGTCAGAAGCTCAGAATGTTGGACCCAGAATTTAAGTAGAATGATCAAATTGAGAAGAAAGTGTTTATTAAATGAAACGTGCGGCTTCTCATCAGCTGGGTGGCTCACTGCATTCTCTGTAGGAGCGGAGACTCAGGTCAGTGACTTCACTCATGGAACTCATGGACAGGTTGGTATGGAAAGCTGTTTTCCTTTAATAATCGTTTTAAATGTAGATTTATTGGGGATAACTTGGTCTGATCCTCAAGTTTATGCATTCTAAAACAATGAAAAGTAAAAGCTAAGTAAAGCAAAGAGGGGTCAGAGGTGGTTCTAGTTAAAAGAAGTGTAAATCTGTGTCTCCTGCGATGGACTGGCGACCTGTCCAGGGTGGAACCCGCCTCTCGCCTGTAGATAGCTGGAGATAGACACCAGTACCCCTCACCACCCCGCTTGGGATAAAGCATGATGGAAAATGGATGGATGGATAAATATGTGTCTGTTTCCTTGTTTTAGTGTTTCGTGGATTCTGGACCCTTCTGATCATAGCTGCACTGGTCTCAGCTCTGACTGGAGGCTCGCTGCTGATCTGTGGTGTTCCCTACTTCAGCCAGAAACTTTACAAAGTGGGCGGGGCCTTTCTTATTGCTGCTGGTAAAACAGACACAGCTGTGCTGCATGTGCATGTGTCAAGTTCTTTCATTGGACTTCATGTCTGCAGAGAGACACACATTTGGTCCAGAGGTGAAGAATGTTGAGACAACCATTCTGCTACTTTCCCTGCAGTCAGCTGCTTATTTGGGACACGTGATAAAACACATGCCAAACACAAAGAACAGCAGATGTCTGCCTGCCTTATTCATTTCCATAACAACATCAGGTCTAAACTTTGCTGCCAGGGCACCAGTGGAGATGAGCAGAAGCTGCATTCATTCGTAATCCCTAACAGCAATGACTGTCTCTATTTCTGTGTGTCTCCCTCTCCTCATGTTTTCTGCAGCCGGCTTGTTCCTGGTTATGCTTCTGCTCTTCGTGCTGTGGATGGAGGTGGTAGATGTGAAGCGCTACATTCTGCAGGAGAAGGGAGAAAATTGTCCAAAAGCTGAGGTTTCCTTATTCTACGGACTTTCTTTCATGGTGGCAGCCACTGGTATTCCACTGGAGGCGGTATCTGGGCTGCTCTTCCTGATGTGCGGCCGTGCGCTGGAGGCCAGGAGATGAGCCATGTGACACGCTAAAATAAGGGACTGCTTTCTTATTGTTTGGCACAGATGTTCAGCAATGCATTTATGGGACATGCAGTGCACTAGAAAACTATTCAAGCTTATTTACTTTTTCTTCACGTTTTTTCCTATTATCTTATATTTCATATCTTTAATCTCAGATCCAGAGTTTGAGTTGATGGAAATACTTATTGCTGCAGATCCAGTTGCAAATGTTTTGGAATATGTAATTTTTTTCTGATTACTTTCTGCAAAATAAAGTAACTAAAAGTAGAGAAGTATAAGAGAAATTTTACTTGGATTTTATATTTACAAATGTTTTACCAATAAAAATGATTTTAAAAATTGGCATGCAGTTGAATTGATACCTTTTTACTATGATACTCTAAAATAAAATCTGACATAGATTATATTTCAAAGTCACCTCATTTCGTCGTCAGCTTTTCACCCTCAAACCAACAGACAAGGACCCAGGAGGTCTAGACTAAGACTGGTACTCTGTGTGAGGCTGATCCCACTAAGTGGGCCAGTCAACTGCCCTGGGTGGAACGTACCATTAATGCTGCCCCCTCTAGCATCACTGGGCTCTCTCCATTTTTTGTTGTGTTTTGCACTGAATCCAGGGGGCAGAATATCACCCTGTAGTTGCTACAGGGTTGAGTTATTTATAAAGGACTTTATAAATAAAGTGGAGTTGAGTTTAGCCTCAATTAGCTGCTTTTGTCTGATTGATTAACTTGTTTCCTAGAAATGTTATGCATTATACTTAAGTAGTTGTTCTTGTTTAGGTTTTCTGATATAAAGGTTTTGGTTTGTTTTCTCTGTCCTTAACACCCTAATTTAATGTGTTCTGTAATCTTGTAAAGTCTATGACAAATATTTCATTGTAAGTTTTTATTTATTTACAGAAAGAAAACAGGTAATGAAACCAAACTGAGAAGAAAATGGTAAAAGCTGGTTTTAGTTAGAATCCCAGAGCATTTCAGCTGCAGTAAGACTCACTAAGTTTGTTGTGAGAAAGCAGGATGACAGACAAAAAACAAAGAAAGAAACCCCACAGCATCCACTCGCTTTGCTAAAACTGGTAGCTATTATGGACCGTCACGTATGGCATCTGTCTGCACTGCACAGGTAGGAGACACTGGGAATGTAAGCCAAGGAAAAATCAATCGCTTTTTATTTTTTTAAAGTTTGATGTCTTTTTTAATGTAGAGTAAAAAAAAAGAGAAAAAGTAATTTGAAGTGATTAGATCTGCTGTTGTTTTTAGGAATATATTTTGGAAGAGGAGGGTGTCATCCCTGATATAACGTGGATTTGTACATTCTCAATATTTCCACTGATATAAACTCAACATGTTTGGGTTTTGCTTAAGGGTTGTATTTGGGGTTACTACTAAGCGTTACTATTTTAACTCTTTGGATGCAGTTCCAACCAAACTGACATATGCTGAAAAATCAGGACATTGGAGGACGGTTGGTCCCTGATTCAGAAAGGAGGGAAGTCACATAATGAGCAACCATCCATGTCCAACAAACACAAGGAAACAATAAAGATCTGAAGCAATCAGGCTAAGCTAACATTGCCTAATGCTAGCATGCTATAATGTTATATCCACAGTAATCCCAGCTTACAAATGCAAAGGTAATGGTTAAAGACGTTATTTATTAGCATATTCATGCTACGTAATATGCATAAATATTAATATCAATAGCAATATCAGAATATACTTTATTGCCAAGTAATGTTTTACACCTACAAGCTATTTGCTTTGGGGAGAAAGTGATTGAAAAAGGCATCAAACATGTAGTAGATAGAAGTACATTTGGTCAAATTTAGTTTGAAATAAACGAATGCAAGTTGTCTAGGAATGAAATGAAAATAGAGAAGAATAGCATAACTTTTGGTGAAGAAAGATAGTTATGGTAACATGAAATTAAACATGAAATTAGATTAAAACAGGTGCTGAGATAGTCAGAAGATTTTTAATGAGCTGGAGAATGAAAGAGGCTGTTTTTATGGCAGGAGGTCCTGCTGGACTGTAGCTTCCTACAGTAGGAGGAAGAGGGGGGGGGCTGGACAGTTTGTGTCCATAGTGGGCCGGCTGCTCTTTACCTGGTAGCCTTTGGGTCCTGAGGAAACTTCCATCTTATTAAAATTATTTACTCTTTTAAAACCAACAAAGGAAACATGCTCACTGTGTCAAATACAATGTTTCCTCCTTACATTTTGATGTTTTATATTTTGGGAGGCCTCCTTACGCAGATTCTCATTTTCAAGTCGGGACCATGGACTGAAATGCTAATATTACCTCCTGTCAGATAAAGATGTTGCTAAAATCTAAACAGAGGCTGAATCTTAATCTTTCAAGGTTGGTTTGAGCGAACACCACCTTTACTGAGCTTTTTATTAAATCAACTGTTAGTGATTTGAAGCTTCTCTGCAGAATAATGCTGCTGCAGTTCATGCCACCTTCTTCAAAAATGATCTATATCTTGATAAATTCACTGATGTCATTATGGCTTTGTCAAAAAAAATTTCTAAAAAATGTATAAAAAGATGAAATTATATAAAAATTGTTGACAAAGCATCAACATTGTTTAAAAGTCACATAGGTAACACCTTACCCCTCATGAGCCAGTGGAGGGCGCTCCTGCTCTCTTCATGGACATCCAGGCAGCAGGGATGAACCAACTCGATGGAAAGGAAAGTGACGGAAACGCAGCAAGGAAAAGGAAGTGATTATTGAGCAAAGTATTTTATTTCCTTTTCCTAATCATTGTTATTTAACTCATCATAAAAAAAAGCACTCTTTCATCAACAGAGTTCCTATAGATCTAAAGTTGCATCAGTTATAGCAAAGGAATGATTATCTTTGCACATATGGATATAAGAAAATAATTGTTTTAAACCAGCTTGTTCTGTTTAAGTTCCTTTGATGTTGTGTTTAATGCGCCTATAACTCCCGGCTAACATTTGGCAGGAAGTTTCCTCTTCTGAGTTCAGTCAGACAGCAGGATGTGGTCTCACTCTGCAGGGACAGTTAACCCTGCTTGGACTGCATCCTCCAGACTGGACTGAATACTGGTGGGCTCTAATCCAGTCAAAGGGGGGATTCCATTCTCTGACCCCCCAACTCCACTAGTGAGGCGATTACCTGCTCTGTGTGCGCGTGGCTTTAAAACCCGTGAAGATTGGCTGTGTGTGTTTCAGTGCCTTTGCCTGCATGCTGAGGCCAGACGGACACAGTTTCTCTCAGATAAAAGTCCTTTCTCCTGTCAAAAATGACTGACCTGATAAGAGCTGATATGGGAGAAAAGCAAGCCTTATGGCATCACTCTTTCTTTTTTTGTTTCTTTTGTAAACGCCAAATCCCCAGGAACACACCAACCCTTCTTTGCAAACATGCACACAGTTAATCTCTGGGGGGGGGGAGCAGGTGGAGGAATAAAGAAAAAGAGTCGCTGTGTGGGTTTGTTTCTGCATTATCATAGATATATATAAAAAAGAACATGTGAAGCATTGAAGACATTCCTCCTTTCAGACATACACCAGAAAACAGACAGATTATGTGTGAGACAGCAGCGCTCCTGCCTTCAATTAACCTCACAAAGACACCATCACTTACATGCTCATGATGCTGATAAAGGACGCCTGGGTGGGTGGGTGGGTGTGTAAGTGGCCTGAACGACACAGCAACCATGTATAAAACAGCAAACTTATTAAAGACGGACATCATGTCATATGTTCTGTTTTTGGAGAAGATCTGTTCTTTCTTCACATGCAGCAATACCTGCTCCTGGAACAGACAGACGATGATCCAACCAGTCTGAAGCTTCCCAAACCTCTGCGTCCTTTAGTGAGATTTTACCAAATAGATCCACATAACTAACAAAGGATGGATTGTTTTCAACTGTGCGTGTCCTGCTTAGCCAATAATAGCTTTCCCATAGCTGATAGCTGATAGCCTAATAGCTTTGCTTCCACAACAGACCAGTAGGACTGCTGCCATAAGACTCTGCTTTATATTTGTAGATTAAACTTTATTGAACATTATTTGAGGAGTAAAATCGTGCAGAACAGACATTGAAAAGGGAGGTGAGAAAGAAAGGGGGTGAGAGGGGGGGGGGGGATAAACAGCAACAATAGACACAGAAGATCTACAGTAACTCCCAGAAGTTTGCTTCCACACCTGGATGAGGCGAGAGGAACAGAAAACAGAAAACCACCGTAAGCTTGAAAAGAAAAAGCTTGAAGAGCAGCGGCATCATTTCCATGTGTGTCAGAGTCAGAAGCTGCAGTGATTCCACATTATTAACCATGGTGGTTTAAATCTGCAGCTGCATCTTCTCCTCTTATTCCATCAGAGGGGCGGTGGGGGCGGAGCCTATCTCCAGTGGTCCATAGGCTACAGGTGGGGTCCACCCTGGACAGGTCACCAGTCCACTGCAATAAATCTACTTCTAACATGCAAATATCCATAAACCGCAGTGACTCCTGCTAAAGGCAGCTTCAGGTTGTTTTTAGTTCAGTTCAGTTCAGTTCGGTTCAGTTTATTCGAACAACAAAACAATATAAGATGTGTAAATACAACACAACACAATGAATACATAAACCATAATAAATTGTTCGAAAAGGAATGGGACGAAGTATAAACTTTTAAGTTTCCCATCCCTAATGAATCAAGAGACCTAAGTTGCTCATTTAACTAGTTACATTCACTCTTCCATATTAATCTACCTGTTTTTTATCTTTCCTCTTCTACATATTTATCCAAAAGTAATTTTTTGTACCTTCTCTTAAACAAATTTATGTTCACACTCTGCTTTAAACACGGCTGTAGACTATTCCATAACTTCACTCCACTACTTGATATAGTCATTCTTTTCATCGCTGTTCGTACCGTCTTCGTTCTGAATACTGCATCTCCTCTAAAATTATATTTTTCATCTCGTTCTTGAAACACTTCATTTATATTTTTAGCCACTAGTTTGTTTTTTACTTTATACATTACTTGCGCTGTCTTGAATTTTACCAGGTCTGTGAATTTTAATGCATATAGCTGTATAAATAATCGATTGGTGTGCTCTCTAAATCCTACTTTGCATATTATTCTTATTGCTCTTTTTTGTAGTGTGCATATGGATTGTAATGTGCTCTTATAGATGTTACCCCAAACTTCAACACAATAAATCAAATATGGCAAAAACAATGAAAAATAAAGCATTTTTAGTGATTTTGGGTTCAATATATGACTCGCACAGCATTTGGCAAGCTTATTTTTCACATAACTTACATGTGGTTTCCAGCAGATCTTGTGGTCTAAAATCACACCAAGAAACTTTATTTC